ACATTATTTCAATATTTGCCATAATTAAGGACACATTTTTAAAAAATATTTGTACACTTAAGTTTTATTTTCAGCACTTAAAGTTAAACATGAATAAACTATGCACGAATCAATTAGTCTATAGTATTAATTAGTATATGTTTCCACAAAATTATATCACGAAAACTTGAATAAGAATTTCAAAACAATTTTGTCAATCAAATAGCTTTAAAAATTCCAACTCATTTCAGCGAAAACAACTTTGCTTAAAGAAGTCAAATCAAACAAGGAAACTGTGGGATATTGAATAGTTAGGCCTGACATTTCAACCCCTTCCTTAATCAGGCTGATAATCAATGGCTGTCTCCAAAGTGAAAGGATGAGGATCAAGAAACTCTTTGTTTTCAAGAAACTGGCACTCCACTTGATCCATGTCCAAAACAAAATCTTCATGACGGTTCGCGTGGGCACGCAAATCATCTTTTCTTTTGTAAGCAGCCTTGCACACGGGACAGAAATACTTGGTGACGTAGCGCTCATGCCGTGCTATCCAGTGACGCTTGAATTTGGCCCTATGTCCAAGAACAAAAGCTTTGCAGTCTGAAACCGGACAGGATTTCCAACCCAAATGCAAGTTTTTTTTCTTTCCAAAGCTGTCATGGAAAGGATGTAAATCACCTGGAGATGATAAGAAAATGTGGTTATTCCCCCCCACTTAGTTTAGGTCAGATCCTTTCAATGATTGTATGTATGTTCAACAACAGCTGTTTCAGAGGTTTTTAGATTTCTGCTGGTGATTGCAAGGCAATATCACTGCGTCAACCTACACAGACATGCTGGCATTGAAAAATAGACGGAGCGAATTGACACATGTTCCTTGAAACATCTTCAAATATCTTTAGTCAATTTCAACTCTGTGACCAAATAAAAGAGCAACAATAAAAGATACTGAAATGAGTTTATGTAAGCTGATGGTGGCCTAAACAAGAGAAATGAATCCCAACTGCTACATTTAAAATATTATTGAATAATTTTGAATCTTTAACTCCAGTCATTCCAAGAGAACTGGAGATGGGTCTAAGCCCAACAAGGGTCTGTGAGGACTCACTGAGGAGCATCAAAATTTTGGTTTCCCAAAAACATCATCCAGCGTCAGTGGATATGGATCTTGGAACTCCCTATTGGGTTGATACTCAACTTTTCCAACAGACAGAGAAATATCATCCCCATGTTTCTGGCGAAAATGCTGGAACAGATTAGACTTTCTCTTGGAGAACACCTCACACAAAGAACAGTGATATTTGGCCACAATTTCTTCATGCTTTTCAGCCCAATGAATTTTTAGATGTATAGCTTGTCTGATGACCTTTGCACTGCATCCTGGTACGGGGCATCCCAGCCCTGGTCGCCACAATCCAAACGTAGGAATAAGAGGTTTCCCAAGCATTTTCCTGAGTGCACCTGGAAACACAAGAAGATAGAAAGATAGCTTGTTCTCAAATGTGCTCAGTTATAGTCAAACATTTTATCCACAAACTAAACCAACTCCTCATTGAATTGCATATCTAACTAGTTTCAATAGCAGAGAGCTGATCGTAAGCCACAAGAAAGTGTTAGGTAGCAAGAGGTCCCTAAGATTGAAAATAAAGTGTGATGCACCAGAGGGACTGCTATACAATAATAAGATTTTAAGAGATTGAACTTGCATGATTGGTGAAAGATTTGCCAAACTGTAACAACTCTAAATCAACTGACAGAGATTTGTTTATGGGTTGATAGCCACAGATACTCCATTCAAGGGAAAAAAATGTAAATGACTGAACAGAAAAAATGTAAATGGCTTTACAAATTTCAGATATTGTAACTTCAAGAATAAAAATGTGTCACATTTTAGCAAGCATTCACACAAGACCATGATGTTTCATTCAATGGTTACATAAAAATAAGGAAAACTGGGATACAATTTTATTTTAATTTTGAATGGAAAAAAAAACTTAAGATCAGTAAAGTGTAATCTAGATACAAAAAATACATTAAAGTTCAATCAAGATTAAAAATACATAATTACTCAAAAAGTATTCACATTCCGTGGTTCTATGTCAAACCCAGAACATGCTCTAAGGTGAGAGGGAAAGGATCCTCAAATTGTTGGTTGGGAAGCAGATCAACTTTCCCAACAGCCAACTGTGTATCCCCACCATGCTTTACTTTAAAATGTCTGATCAAGGCAGACTTTCGTTTAAAGCCAACACAACACACAGAACAATGGTAGTGAGGAACTATAGCCGTGTGTTTCTCCTCCCAATGAAGTTTCATGTGACTGGTGTCTCGGATAGTTTTGGCATTGCATCCGGGGACTGGACAAGCAGTGAAAACGCATGGCTTCCACAGGACTGGAGCAGGGAGATGGGTGGGTTTGGTCTTGGTGGTGCCACCTGCAGACAAGAATACAGCGTGGTTTCATCATACAGCCAGTGGATGATAACTAAAAATACATATGCAACAGAGAACCACAAATTTAAGAAATGCACAGCAAAGAAACATTTCTGAGACACTTCTTAGTGTAGTCAGTTACAAATATCACTTCTAAAATATCATATTCATGAAATGTCATTTAAAAAATAATAAATTCACATTACACATTAAAACCACATAAAGTATTTTTTTCAAACAAATCAACAATTGGCATGCAAATGGGGAAAAAATGATGTGTTGAATATTTCCATTTTCAAGTTGATATAAAAAATGATGTCTTTGTTTAATCTTCAGCAAAAATCAAATTTTCTGACACATTTAACAATTGCTATTTTCCACAATGAAATAAGTTTCTTCAAAATGTAAACCTACTTAAAGATATTTTTTTTTCATCTCCATTTATCTCTAAGTATGATATTTTCTTAATTCCAAAATACTTTGAATAGTAAGTGGAAATGGATCCTGAAATTCATTGTTGTGCTGATAACTAATGTCTCCGACACACAAAGATGAATCTGCCTCAGGATGCCGGTAACGAAAGTGCATCAGTAAATTGGATTTCCTCTTTGTAGTATGTGAACACAAGGAACATTGAAACTTGGGCACAATTTCTTCATGTTTATCATTCCAGTGCTCTCGTAATCGGGTAGTTGATTGAATTTTCTTAGCTCCACATCTGGGAACTGGACATCCTAGTCCAGGTATCCAATGCCGTGTTGAATCGACTGTGGGGATTTTGGTATTTTCTGATGGCGGAGACAGGAAAGCATGTTCTTTCACACGACCTGTTAATGGAGACATCAAAATATAGCACTGATGTATTTAGCTTTAGTTAATGGAAGGCATTTCATTGGTACAACATTTTAACTTTCCACTCAACAAGCGCCACAGAGCCAGAATAAAACTTTTTTTATCAGGGCAATAGCCATTACCAAAGAAAACATTTTGATGATAACATGTGAAATTAAAATTTGATGTCATGTAATGATGCACTGTTTTAGATACAGGTATATGCATTATGTAAACACTTCTCAATCAGAATAAAAGCAGTCCACATAAAATTAGAACAAAAAAGGAATCTTAGCAAAAGCACAACATGCTTTTATGTGATAAATCTATTTGAACATTCATTAATTAGACATCTCTATACACCTATTACAATAAATATCAACAATTTTAATGATCAAACAGCAGGATGGTGTAAAAAAAACATTAAAGAAACATTATATAAAGTTACTTAAAAAATAAAATAGCAAAAGGTCAGAGTCAGAGCAGTAATTTTGTTAAAGGTGATTTCCAAATGTATCAGTTTTTATAGCAAATGGTTTCCAGCCATCTATTTCGTTGAATCACCACACAGCTGTGTGACTAGAAGGCTTAACTGTTGTTACCTGAAGGAAGATGCCCTCTGGTGCAACCTTTCTATGCAGAAGCTGATATTGTGCTGCATATGTTAAAAATTATATACAATTGTGCCTAAGACTACCCAAAACTGCATCTAAACTTAATGGCGAAGGATCTAAAAATTGGTCATTCTTTTGATGGTCCACTTTTCCAATGCATGACGATATATCACCCTCTCTGTGGCGACTCCTAAAATGCATAAACAAATTGGTTTTTCTTTTGGTCAAATAGGGGCAAAGTGAACAGTGATATTTAGGAACAATATCTTCATGTTTTTCAATCCAGTGTTCCTTTAGTTTAGTTGAAGTTCTAATTCTGAGAGCACCACAACTGGACACTGGGCAACTTTGTCCTGGCCACCAAAGTGATGTCCCTGGAAAATAGGTCATTTGCCTTCTGCTCACCAATAAACCTGTAGACAAGAGATGAGGCTCAAGGTCACTTGTAAATGAATATATTTCCATTTTTTTTCCTCAACATAACAGAAGCTACTGCTAGTTTACTTTTGGCCCACAAGAAAGACTTGTTTGAATTTAAGTTTATTCATTCATTCTCCTCTAAAATATCTACAGGTTAAGTTTAAAACAATATATTTTGTAAATAAGATGCACTCTTCTCTCTGACTGTCATCCACTGAGTGAGAGCACCTCTCTGGCAAAGTTATTGCCCAAATTTTTCCACTCCTAGAACTATGTTAAGGGTCAGAGGTGAAGGATCCTCAAACTCATAGTTCTGCATGTACTCCACTTTTCCAACACAAAATCTGATATCCTCACCGGGATGACATTTGCGAAAATGTTGAAATAAATTTGACTTTCTTTTGGATATGTAGTGCATGCACTTAGAGCAATGAAATTTGGGCACAGTAGCTTCATGTTTTTCAATCCAATGGGCTTTAAACAGGGATAAGACCCTGAGCTTCTGAGCCCCACACCCTGGCACTGGACAGCCTAATCCTGGTTTCCACAGGGCCGATTCTTTATTCATCCAAAAAAGTAAACCTGCAAACATAAATTATTCCATCTTTACCCATTAGTTTCTAGACAAGGGTAAATCCTTTTTTTTTTTTTTTTTTTAAATAAAAAAATTAATTACCAATAAAGAAAGTATTCTGCTCTTGATCTGCCACAAGAAACACTAATCACGCAAGACTGGCAACTAAAACTGTATCGCATTTAACTCTGTCAAGTAGCACTGGCCACCAAGTTAATTAAGAATAGCAGCAAACAAGTTGTATTTTTCAAGAACATGTACATATGTTTTATGTGGTGTTTTTGAAGTAAGTTACAGAAATGAAACAGAATAAGATCATCCCACTTGGGCACACAGAGGCAAGTAGATGTTACACTTTGCCAAGAATAATGTCCAACGTTAAAGGATCTGGATCATGATATTGTAGGTTTTTATGGTATTCTGTCCTCTCCAGAGCTTCATCGATGTCATCACCATGTTTCATACGAAAATGCTGAAGTAAATAATCTTTTCTCTTGGCACTTAGGAAACATTTGGAGCAGATGTATTTGGCCACCATTTGTTCATGCTTGGCTGCCCAATGACGAGATAGCTGTGTGAAGTCTCTCAGTTTTTTGGCATTACAATTGGGTACTGGACACCCCAAGCCTGGTCTCCAGAGAGCTGTTTCTGGGTTGTGAAGCTTAGCAACATGACTTCTGATCTTGCAGCTACCTATAGATGAAAGCACAAGTGACCTTTAACCACTACAACCATAGAAAGCTTCCAATGTGGAGTGTTTAGTTAGACAATAGTTCTGTCTAGACAAAGTTAACAGGAGTAGCCAGCAGGCAAAACAATATGTACAGAGTTGAGTAAAGAAAAATGTATTAAAAAAGCCAAAACGGTTTTGCTCCAAAAGTAAATAAACGTAATAAAATTACAAAAGTTTTTTTGTTTTTTAAATTAAAAAATGATTTTAAAAAATCATATTTTTAATTATATTTGTGTCATTAGCAATGGACAGCAACACTTGTAGATTGGAGGGTTACATTACTTCCATCAAATATCCCCCAACACTACAGCTAATGTCAAAGGTGAAGGGTCCATGAACTGCCGGTTGATTTTTTCTGCCAGGATTATTTCAATATCACAAAGGGCCATCTTATGCTTTGTGTTAACATGGTGATTCAGGTCTGATCTCCGCTTGTGGGAACTAGCGCAAATGGAACACGCATATATTGTAACGAGCTTTTCATGTTTCTCGCGCCAGTGCATTTTGAGTCGAGCTGCGGAAACAATTTTTTTCGCCACACATCCTTCAATGGGGCATCCCTGACCAGGCTGCCACTTTGCTTGGTGTGGGTTGTATTTAATTTTAATGTATCCAGTTTGAGCTTTAGCCTTTCCACCTGAAGATAAGAACACAGAACTTAAAAAGAATACAAGCTAAATAAACTGAGATTCTGGATCACATCAAATCCAGCGGACAGTACATAAGGGTTTGCTTTGCCATGTCCTTAAACAGATTGAATATTTTACATGCCCGAACATACAACCAATTGGAGAACACAGACGAAAAGTTTGCGATAGTAAAGCAAGCGAGAAAATTAGGCAGTCGATTATTCATAGCCCAAAACGGTATTCAGGGTCAAAGGTCTGGGATCTATGAACTCAGGATTGGACTGATATTCAATTTTGCCCAAACACTCATTAACATTGGCCCTGTGTTTCATTCGAGTGTGAGCAAATAAGTTGGATTTCCTTTTGAATGACACTGGACAGAGTGCACAATGGTAATATGCTGTGATCGCTTCATGTTTTTCCAGCCAATGGTAGCGCAAGTCTGATTTGTTTCTGCAAAACTTGGCCACACACCCTGGTACAGGGCATCCACTTCCAGGCTCCCAAAATCTCTGTGAACGATTTTGTTTAAGTTCAAAGTGGTGACCTGCAGAAGGAAAATAATCAGACCTGTAGTGCATGTAACGACTACCTTGCTTTGCTCAAGGTGTCAGCTTATTTATGTGTTAAACGGGAGGTTAAACCAAAAGTGGCAAGCAGAGGTGGCACCTGTCCTTTGAATGAAAAAAATAAACTAAGTAATGAAGAAAGTAGATCCTCAACTCAAAGACAGAGCAAAGTTTTGAACATGACTTCTTGTTTAAAAAAAATAATGTCAAGATGTAAGATACTGTCATTTACTTATCAGTGCAATACTAAAAATTAGTTCAACTAATGATGACAAAATCAGACAGTGTGAGCATTCAATAATTAGGATTGGTAATATCAAGAAAACGGTGTTGTTAATTATGACTGAATTATATGTTTTATAGTTTCCCCAAGACAAACATTTACTCCAGGATTAATGTCACTGTACAAAACAAGTACAAAATAATTATATTTTAAAACCAACTAAGTTTAAAAAATTTTAATGCATTTTGTTTTCTCTCATTAAACAACTCTTTACCCTAAAATTATGTTCACTTATATGAGTTTGAAAATGCTGAAAACCCTGTTCAATTTGTACAAACCATCACTAATTCAAAAAGTTACATACTATATATTAAATATATAAATCATGTAAGTAGAAATACACTAAAAACAAAAAATCTATTAATATTTTTAAGTTTGGTAAAAATAACCTGTGAATATTAACATTTAAAAGTACTGTAATAAAAGTTAAGTTAAAAAATATTTGTCAAGGTAAGGATAATTTACACTAAGCTGTTAAGTACAAGAAATGTTTCAGCTGCTGGCCCCTATAAAAGCTGTTCCTAGGACTGACTCTAGTGTCAGAGGAGCAGGATCCAAGAATTCCTTGTTTTTATGATATTCTCCGTCAAGTTGGGAGAGATCTAATGTGGTTCCATGGGCCATACGAGCATGTCTTGAGACATCTCTCTTTCTTTTGTGACGGCGATGACAGTTGGGACAAACATATTTGATCACAATTTCTTCATGCTTTTCTTTCCAGTGCCGACAATAATGTGATTTACTATCAAACATTTTTCCAAGGCAGCCTTCAACAGGGCAAGGATCTCTCGGTCGCCACATAATGTTCAAGTTGAGTCCATCACTCCTTTGCCCTGCCGACAGACAAAAGTTAAGAGTGATCCAGTGTGGCTTGACCTGACCAGACAACTTTGGGGGTATAGCATTGGGGAATGCAAGTAATTCATTCAAAGTAATCTAAGTAAAAGTCACAGAAGTCAATATGAAGAAAAGCAAAATATTTTTGGGGCATGACACAAAACTAACAACTTGATTTTCAAAAATTAGTTGTCCTACTATCTTCAAAACTGAATTTGGTTCATAACTTTCATTTATTTGCATTCAAAAATCTATCAGATGCTGGTACCCATTCATTAACTAAACCGAAGAATGTTCAGCTTATCAATTTCTAAATTAATCAAAGGTAGCCGAAAGGTTATTGTCTTTAGTGTTTTGATAGCACTCGTAGTTTTATTCTATTAGTAATTAGAATACCGGTACCGATTTCCTGTATTACTAAGAGGCTTTTCCTGCCATCTACCGTTGGTTTCCAAAGAACATTGCCAGTGTGTAAGGGGATGGATCCACATATTCCTTGTTCTTTTGAAAAACCTTCTGCAACTCTGTTGATCCCGGCAACATTTTATGAAGCACACGTAAATGTCTTAACAGCTCTCCTTTTCGTTTGTACTGACGATCACAACATGGGCATATGAATTTAATAACTATCTCTTCATGCTTTTCACTCCAGTGTCTTTGGAAGTCAAACTTGCAAGCATATCCATTACCCTGACAGGTGGGTACTGGACACTTCTTTCCCGGCATCCAGCGCAATATGGTATTTAACATTCCTGTCAATGAAATGAAAATGCAGGTGTGAGTTCTGTTGACTCCTTGTAGATGTCACTTTTTTTACTTCTCTGATTTTAACAAATCCACTGCTGTAAACTATTTACCCTAACCTTAAATAATGCCACCCAAACACAGTTTAGTGTGTAAAGTTCTTGCATAAGGAAACTAATGCAGAAGAATTTGGAGAAATGGTCATATGCTTTCCAAGCAAAAAATATCAAATAATTATGATCAAATTTACAATATTTAAATTTTATAAAGGAAATTTTAAAAAAAAACAAATCAAATGATTAGCTTCAACAGAAATAAAAAATTCAGTAAAGTCAATGCTTTATGCCATTAAGTATAACCGGCTTCAGTATCAGCAACTGTTTTTAGGGTTTGAAGACATCCATGGAAGGATAAGGCCCAGCAGATATGAGGAGACAACAATAGGATTGTCAAAAAAATTAAGCAACTAAGAAGAAAAAAATGTGAACCACCAACCAAAGTCATTGAAACTAATTACGGATGTTGGGATTTAAAATTCTCAAATTTAAAAGAAGAAATCCTCCTGATCTAAGCACACACAGGTAAACAAACTCAAAGTAAAAATTATATATTCACTTGGTTGCATGAGTTTTTTTCTTTTCATATCTTTTAACTTGTACACATAAGCTATTTTTGCATTTTGGAAATTTAGTGTGTATTGGTATAAAGATTGTGCATCTTTTACTTTAAAAAAATATTTTTTATAATTTCAATAATTTAAAAAATAGGCTTACAGTCATTAAGTGTTTGCCTCTGCACTGAACTAATTGAAGATCACTTAGATTATATGGGTACAATAAAACATCCCTTTTAATAATTTGGATCCATTTGGCAAATAACCATATTCATTTTCCTTTGGACTTACGACATACGTATGTATTTAGTATGATAGAATACCATATTTTAAAAAATAGAACAAATGATATCATGTTCCTCATTTTAACCAATAATTTTAAATTTCAAAGCCAAATCAAATATAAGACTTGGACCATATTTTGCAACATTAATTGTTATCAGTTTTTGTTTATACTACTGTGTACCTTATTTGTAAATTAAAAGTATTTAATTGGACACAGTAAACCAGTTTTAAGTTGTTATGTTTTCAGTGTGGAATAGGATTAAGTTTTGTTATTTTGTTTTCAGTCAGTGTAGTAGATTAATGCAAAGGTTCTTGAATAATTTTTAATTTTCAGTATATTGGATATATTTGTAAAATGTAATCTTGTTCAAACGCTCTTGCACTCCATGTACTTAATAGCAAAACATTTGTTTAGTACCGGTATATCATTTATTAAATAATATTTAATAAAGAATTTCAGGATATCTGAAAATCAGGACATCTGCTTTTAACAAAAAGTAGTAATGAAAGAAGTATATGAATTTGTAAAGAACAATACATATATATATTATATGTTAATGAGAGTTCAAGGGTAGAAAAAAATGGATTGCGATCATTTCACAAATGCACCCTACACAAAATAAAAACAATTAATTTGATTGAATGTGGTCATTAAAAAAAAAAATTGTGTTAAAACAATATTGTTTGCTACTTGCACTAGGCAAAACAATGTAGCATTCAAAGAGTAGTAGTCTCATCCTGCAAATTCTATTCCATAGTCATTCTCAGATTTTGGATAGGATCAATGTGTGTTTTATTACTTTGGACACCTGAGACTGGACTGATTTGTTCCTTATAATACTTTCCCAACAGCATTTCGATGCTGTATGGTGAAGGATTGATGAACTGTTTATTACGATGACTTTGACGTATTGTATCCGCTAGCACAATGTGGTCATTATGTTTTGTACTACGATGTCGATCAAAATGCTCTTTTCGTTTAAAATCCATAGAGCATGAAGAACAATGAAACATATCAACAATTTCTTCATGTCTCTCTGTCCAGTGACGACGCAGCTTGGCTCTATGGCAAAAACGAGTACTTTCACATCCCTTCACAGGACATCCTTTCCCAGGTGCCCAGTAAAAATTCTGCCACACTTGCCCTGGAGATAAAAACATAATCTTTGAGCTGCAGAATTTGCTGTCACTGACCTTGGCAAAATAAGTTATTGTGATTCAGCTTTGCAATATCAAAAACGGGAACAAAATCCAGCAGAGCATCCACAAATGATAAATAAATCAGCACTCTAAACACTAGCGTGTGATGATCCTGATATCAGAAGTCTCAAACAAGTCTTCGTAATAATTGTAATTAACCTCAACGCCAGTTTCATGATTAACAGTTATAAGTTGTAGCAGGCGACCACTTTGAAATAAGCCATGCTGGTATCTACCAGATTGAGTTATGCAGAACTATTTTACAACCAATCAATAAAAATATTTTCCCAATTTTCTGTCATTATTACCTTAGTATTACAGCATGTGTCATATGTATTGCCGCTAGTTACTGACAAAAATTAGCTAAATATTGTTTAAAATTTCTTTTTAAAAAATCAATAAAATGATGTTCTTTGCTAAGACTAACACAAAATATGTCAGAATATATTTAGATGTCTTATCAAGTTAAACCCTCATTCTGTACAAAAGCAATCACATTTTTAATGGAGATTTTTTTTTATAAACTTAAAGTGTTTTTTCACATGAATAAACAATTTTTTAAAAAGGCTTCATGTAAGAAAGCCACTGATCACTGCTAGCACTATTTAGATAGTAACTTGGAACAACACATAAAAACAATAAGAAAAGTAATTTTGTTTTAAAATGTAATGAAAAATTAAAAATCAAAACATTTAGATTTACACTGGACTATTTAAAGCCACAAAATAGAAAACAAAAATATTGTGTTTACATTTTTGTATGTTTATTTTCCATTATTCAAAGCAATCATGCTTGTCAAGTTTTATTTTATGTATACTATTGAAGAGAAGGACAAAGAAAGATTCGAGAACCATGCATACACAATAGTTAAACTCGGTATAATATGAGCAAAGTGTGATGAATGCATACAGACAACTGAGAACAAAACATATCTTATCTTTTTCTCTATATCACTATCAATAATTTTAAGCTATGATTTCATGTAGGACAATGCTTTCTGCAATGTCCATGGAGTGGGATCAATAAATTCTTTGTTTGCTTCATGATCTACATTTCCTATAGCATGTTCTTTTCTTAAGCCGTGAAGGACAAAGGCGTGGCGAATTAAATTTGTTTTCCTTTTGGCTGGATAATTGCAAAATGCACAGTGATACATAATGACCACAGCGTCATGTCGTTCTTTCCAGTGACGATGAAAGTCGCTATTGGAGCCTACGGCTGTGCCACATCCATTTACAGGGCATAGCAGCTGCTTCCTGGACAGTCTTTCTCTGTTAGGTTGACAGAAGATGCCATCTTCACCACCACCAGAGTCTGAAGGAAGAAAATGCTATCCATGTTATGATGCACAGCAATTGGAACCATGTCTATACTATATAGTATTATTGAAAAGAATCTTGCCTCATGACGAACATTCACTATTACTATACTCCAAAATTCTGCCATCCACTTTTCAAAAATGAGGCCAAAAGTGAAACTTGTACAAGAATCAAATAGAAGACTATGTTTATTCAATAAAAACATTCCATTAGCATCAAATCCAAACAAACAGTTCAAGACCTATACTTAAAACAAAGATTTATTCCACAAAAATGTAATCAGAAAAAGCTATCACTGCATAAAGAAAGTTAACAAATTTTGTATTCCACTGTGTTCATTCTATGCCTAAGGCCATTTTTAAAGTAAACGGCTGAGGAGGTACATATTCTCTGTTGGGTTGGAGATCAACAGCTCCCAAATTCAAAGGAGTTTCTTCTTTATGTGCAGTCTTCAAATGCCTATAAACATTGCCCTTTCTCTTGGTCACGAAACTACAAATGTTACAGTGATGAATATAAACATATTCTTCATGTTTTTCTGACCAGTGACGTTTCAATTCACATTCTGTGAAGCCAATACGTTGATAGTTGTTACTGCAAACTGGAACAGGACAGAAAAACCTCCTGTAGCTCCGCATCATCACAGGCACTCGCCTTCTTCCCAGAATAGTAGCAAATCCTGCAGACAGAAATTTGCTGCATTTGAAAACAGTGGATAACTATAAGTATATAGTTCTGCGTAACCTTCAAATGTAAGTAGATCAATAAGGGCAAATAAAAGTGTAAAAGCTTTATGAGATGAAATATTAATTATCAAAGTTTGAAGAGCACTTTTTTGACAGCTGACAAAAGTTATGCAGCATTCTCACATTCCAACAATTTTAAACACAAGAGTATTAACTGCAAAGTTTGACCATACAGACCAATCTATGCAAACAGTTACTTCAATCCAATTAACCAATCTATGCTAACAGTTACTTCAATCCAATTAAACAAACATGCTAGTCCACATTGACATAAAAATTACAAGAAATGAAAATCCTTGTTATGTGGAAGGACGATGGGAATATAACAATTTTATTAAAAAATCTTTGAATTTTTTCAATCATTTAATATAAGAACCACTAAACAACAAGTAAAACAATGTCTCTTCTTCTTTTGTAGCTATTTATATCATCTTGCCCCCCATAGGTCTCATCTTGCAAGTGATAATATGGCGGACACTGTTCCGTTTGTAATTGAAAGTTTTGAAGCAGTATGGACACGCATACGAGGCTATGCCAAGATGGACACTGTTGATATGATCTCTGTAATCTCGCAAACTCATAAACATTTTCTGACATGCCTCACAACAGGGTTGCCGCCTCCTGACTGCAGTTCTTGCACTCAACAGAGCTGGGAAAGAACAAATAACACATCCTTATAGTGAAGAGTGACCATTGTTTCAGTGTTTAGCTGTACACAGCCTATACACACTTAAGGCATTAGATAAGGTTTTTGCATCAGGAATTATTTAGATAATTTGTTCAACACCAAACTATTCCAATACAAAGCTTTAAAAATTATTGGGTCAAGATTTTAAAAAAAAATAATTTATCAATTTTTTTAGTGATAATAACTATTGTTGCATTGCCACTTTTCTCATAAGTGTAAGCATCAGTGCATTAAACATCTTTAAGTACCTAGACTGCAGACCTGTTTACTCTTACGATTTTGGCGTACAATGTACGATTTCGAGATGTATACATTATATATACTGTATGTTTTTTTTTTTACTATTAAGATAATGTATTGAGCGATTTTGTAATGATATTGTAAGATTTTAAGGGTAAACAGGTCTGATACTGGTACCGTGTTAAATTAATATTACTATAAAATAATTGTTTTTTTCTATTCTTAGTTTCATATTTAAATTTAAAAAATGATAATGTAGCAATGTTTCTACAACTAGCTGCTCTCATTTTTATAGCATCTTACTTAGGATTTCAGGATAAATGAACTAGAGTAAATGGGTAAAAAGTTTTTCTCCAAAAAATCTTGAATTAAATATATTTATTACAGGTGGAACATTGTGACCATCTGCAAAAGATTTCAAAGTTCTTGACACACAGTGATCTAGTAGTAAAAGATAGAATCGAACTCAGACCAAGCATTTCAAATAAAATTAGGAATATCACACCAGTTTTACAAAATATTACTTAGATTTAGAACAACCATTTTTGTCTTTTTCTAATCGAATTATACCAGAAACACTTGAACTCAAGAAAAAGTTCCAACAAACCAGGTACAAACCAGAGGCAATAGGACATTTATAAAATTGAAAACAATAGGGATTTTTGAATCAATTATTTTATTAAACCAATTAAAGATGTTTTGACACATTTTAATCACCTATTAATTTATATTATATACATCCATTACTGCACATTCATCAGCTATTAAACAATGTAAAAAAAATTATTTTAAGCAAAGTGACAAAATCATGTTAAAAACTTTTTTCAAAAAACAATCATAGGTAAAATGTATTTTTTATATGATAACAAATGGCATTATTAACATTTTAAAAAATAAAAAAGGAACATACAGAAATATATTTTTAACACACCCTTTTATTCATACATTGCCAGGAGAAGCAATATTCAAGAGTAAGAATTCTTTTATGTATTTAACATATTACAATCTTGTATCAATTTCAAGGTAAGATTACAATAATAGCTGAAAAATGTATAAATTATTTACATTTGACATGGAAATTTAAAAAAAATAAATAAAAATTGCTACATAAATGTTTAAACAAGAATATTGAAGATTTACCAAAAGAATATTAGTACGATAATGTGACCTGCCATGTTTAAACTTTTTATAACAATAGGGGGGATATTGGAGAGTAAAATTGCTTGAAAAAAATTGAATTCTTAAAAGACAATGCTCAAAGCTTGTGTCAATTTTAATAAAAGGATAACAAAATTCATGTCATTAAAATTAAGGATAGCTATTTATTTATTTGGTGCACAACAAATTGTGCCTTTGAAAATTTCTCTTGTAACCAAAGCCCTTTCCACATTTGGAACATACAAAAGGGTAAACTTTGAAATGGACACAAAATGTATGTTCATTGAGATGAAACGAGTCTGTAAAACGCTTTCCACAAAAGTCACACTGGTATCTTGTCCTACAGAATATATCTGGGGAAGAATTATGCACAAACTGTATTGAAATTAGCAAAGTAGTTAATCAAGACAAAGTTCATATCTGCCATAATTTCAATAAAACTGGACTTCAAAACTTTTATTTTGGAGAAACAAATCAACACTTAACATACATAACCCAATAAGAAACTGGTTTCAAAATGGCTTACATTAGGGGAAAAGACAATGAAACATTGGAAGGCCCAAATGAGACTGGAATCAACACCATAATGAGTTTATTAAAATATTCTTTGCAATAAGGAGGTACATTATGAAAATAAATCAGAAAACAAAACAAAAAGACTGCAAATAAGATGACTCCCGATTGTATGAATGTGAAACAAAAGTTTGGAAACTCAAAATGAACCTATGTATTATATCTCCTGCAACATAGCAATGCATGTCTGGTCATATTGTGTCTGTAGGCAAATCCTTTGCCACACTTAAAGCAAATGTGTGGATAGATCTTTAAATGAACACTATTTTTATGCTCCCCTAGACGGTATGAATCCTTGAATGCTCTTCCGCAGATATTACATCCATAACTTGGTAAAAAATGGATACCTGAGGAAGAGGGATAAAAAATGGCTTTATTTTACTGGTCAATTCCTTTTAAATGTCAAGCACGACAGGAATTCTTCTCCTGAATGACAACAAACAGTGATTAGTACTTCAAAGATCTAGTACACGTAATTGTGTGCCTATTCATGTTCTGTCGGTAGGCAAAACCTTTCCCACATTTGGGACACATATGAGGGGAAAGCTTAAAGTGGACGCTATTTTCATGTTCTTTAAGACAATAGCCATCTCTGAAACTTTTCTCGCACATTCTACAGCTGTGTGGCAAAACAAACACACCACCTGAGGAGAGAGTATAAAAATAATCCTGTTACAGACCCATTTCACTTCCAGATTAAACATATTACTGATAGAATGCATTTTTTAAAAATTAATAATCTGTAACTGAGGGGTATACCTTAGACCGAAAACACCTTTTATAAGCTTTATGAAGAAATGACATAAGTTCCAGATGAAAAATGCCTGGACAATTACAGAGTCTTATTAAATAAAAACATTTTAAAAACTTGAATGACTTGAAGTTATCATGGAAAAACTATCAATTCTTTATTACAATAATACTATGTAAAAACCTACTGAGACTTCACTTTGAAACAGAAATAATAAATGAACGCTATGCCTCATAGTATAGTAGCTTGACTTTACACCTCAAATCAAAAGTCTTCTGAAGTTGTTTCTATATGCAACTCTGTTGGCACAAAGAATTTGGAAGAACATAAAAATGAACACCATTTCTCTGCTCTTTCAGTTGTGTGGCAATTACAAACCAAATGGTACATAACAAAAATAACATCTTGGACTGCAGAAAGGGTACAACCATTGAAAACGCCAACTAAAAGATGGCAAACCCTTCATCAAATCAGCTTTTTTATAATTGCAAAGAGAATTCATCAATACCTAGAAACTAAGGAATGTCAATAGTTCATAATCATTTAGTAAACAAAAATTATTAAATATTAAGATCAAGAAAGTGTTGAAGAAATATGAATTTGATCCAGTCCATATTCGCCTTCCCTAAACCTTCGACTGCATATAGCCATGTGGCGCCTCATGTTTCTTTTATAAGCAAAAGACTTGTTACATAATGAGCAGCGGTACTCAATCAGCCGATCATGAACAGCATTACAATGTTCTTGAAGATGAAAATTACTGGAAAAATATTTGTCACAACTACTGCAACTGTGCCTGGAAACGCTAGCACAATCTGTGAAAAAGGAAATGCTAAAATTTAACTTTTCAACAACCTATTTGTTAGAGCTCAAGTAACATAAAAGAAATAAATCAAGAATTTGAGCTCCAAGCTCTGAAATAACTATGCCCTTGCCATGTCACAAAAATTCATATTACCAGAAAAAACAATCCTGCTAAAAAAAATTAAAAACCCAGGGACAATAGTTAATCCATGTAATGATAAATCAATTTATGGTGTGTATTACACAAAAATAGCAACACTGGAAGAAACTGTTACAACACACCTTAGCAAGTCCCACTATATTTAAGTTGGGCTTTTTTCTTTTAAATGACAGTTAACATGATAGCACGCCAGTAAATTAGTAAGCCTTTATAAATAAGATCACATGATGGTTCCTAACATCAGTAAAATTCAAATTATTCAGAACTCTCCTTTACAGAAACAGAGCTATGGCTTAACATAATATGACGCCTGAGACTCCTCTTGTAACCAAAAGTCCTACTGCAATCAGGACATGCATATTGGTTCACTTTATGATGTACAGCATCGATGTGTTCTTGGAGATGAAAGTTGCTTGAAAAGTATTTGTAACAACTATTACAGAACCTGGAAACTTTAACAAACTCTGTGAAATGGATAAGAATTGAAAAATTGAAGGAATAAAACTACTACACCAATTATTCTGGCAATCATGCATATATTTAATGTTTCCTGTTTCAAAAACAAATGCCTCTGCCATGTCACAACATGAAATGAAAGAAAACCAATTTTCAAAGAAAACAGACATACTGAAAAAATAAATTAAGGTAATTCATTCCAAAACTTATTGCAAACTGACATCATTGGGGGGCGGTACAGAATTATGACTCTCCTAATTTTACATATGATGGAATATGCTAAAGAATAAAATCATTTCAAAGAACTGGCCAAAGAACTTTTTGAGCTTAAATTAATCATAAACTAAGGACTTTGAGGCAAAATTATTTTATTCTCCACAACACATTCCATTAGAAAACACAACCTTTGAACTCAAAGAAGTCAAACAAAATGGAAAGTTCCAGAACTCATTGGAACTAAACTATGATTTAAGACAATGTGCCGCCTAAGACTCCTCTTGTATCCAAATGTCCTACTACAATTAGGACATTTATATTGGTTTACTCCATGATGAACAGCATCGATGTGCTCCTGAAGATGAAAGTTGCTTTGGAAACGTTTGCCACAGTAAGCACAATTCCGGTAGCTTGCCAGATCTGTGAAAGAGGAAACAACTTTATTTTGCATCTTTCCCACCAAAAAGGTTACAGCCATCTAATCATTATCTGAAAATGTTGTAAACTTCATCGTCTTTTCAACAATATGTCAAGAAAACTACATTCATACTTGAAAAGATGAAACAAAACCATAAGAACAGCAGTTTGTCGAATTGCCAAAACTTTAGATAAAAGTCAACTGTTTACTAAGAGATATGCTAACAATTCACAGATTTTTAACAAAGTGTGGGATAATGATCAACTGGATATCCAAGTTGCCGACAGACAGTTTTCTTATGCCGCACCCAGCTCCCCTTGTAAGGAAAACACTTTCCACAGTTCTGGCACCGATATGGGAACTTCTTGAAGTGGACACTATTCATGTGTTCATTCAGATGCAAAGGTTTTTGGTATGACTTTCCACAAAGGATGCAAGTTGGTCGATTCAATCTCAAGCTATGATCTGAGGAGAAAAATTACTATCCTGATTCTTTTCTTATTCACCTCTTTTGACCAATTTTGGCGAATATATTTAATGATTAATTTGAGACAGTAATTCAAGAAATTCAACAAAAAACTTTTTTTTTATATATTTATAGCAATACAAAGGAATTCTTGAAAATCTATATAACCTCTGCCTCCTAGCTAAATATAATTTTTAATATAGTCACTGACATAAAAAACATAATTTGCACATAATTAACACTTTGCACCTGAATATCAACATTATAACTAAATGTAGATTTCATTTTATATTACCATGTCACAAAAAAAGCTCTTGTAACTGAAAAATATGTTTAACATGTCCATTTAATAAAGAGAAATGCACTAATTACTTTAAAACATTTGAAAATCATTAAACTACATTTGTATTTAGTAATTATATTTGCAATACTAATGAAATTATAACCCCCCGCCCATTATATTATTGGCAATTCAAAAAGCTATGCTCCTCTGAATGCAGTTGATGAGCATGTGCGGTAATTTGGTGACGAAGCATGTTGCTTTTGTAGCCAAATTTTTTTGCACAATAATTACAGGCATAAGGAAGTTTTTTAAAATGAACGCTATTCATGTGATCCTTAAAATGGCGACTGCTTTGAAGTTGCTTTCTACAAAGGTTGCACCATGGATGCGTTCCCAATGGCCCACCTGGAAATTCAAAAATGTTTAAATTTTATGGGTAGTGTAAGTGGATTTTTAAATTAAAGATCCAAACAGTGATAAGCGGGAATTATAAAACCAGGTCACAAGAGAATATTGTTTGTCTTTAATGTTTATTAGAAAGAAAAAAAAGTCAAGCTGTAAAAAAGCAATGTTTGACCAATGTTTCACAAAGCTTTATTTAAAATTTGTTTCCAAATCATGCAGTTTAATGCATTTACCATAAGAACCAATAGGAAAATAAAAATCCTTTTATTTATATTTTTATCAATTAAAATGTTCAAAAGGTAGACTTTACAATTACCCAAGACCATTCTACATGAAAACTTGTTTCCAAATAACACATAGGAAAAATTGATACTTAATGAATTAACTTTTTGCTAAGATAGAACCCATCTGCTGATTAAATGAAGTACAGAACTTGTAACTAAAAATCTCACAAAGTATTGACCCCAACAAGATATTTAAACAAATCAAGTTAGAAATAAAACTTCAGAAACACTTTTTATACAATATCCACAAAAAGCAAATGCTCATTACTTGATTACAATTCAATGAAGTACTTCAGAGAATGTTATTTGGATTAAATTAAATGGTTATAAATAAAATACTAACAAAGAACTCAATTGTATGATCGTTTGCAATATACTGCATTTTGCAATGTATATTCTTTACTAGAAGGTCAATAATATAGAAAATGAAAAGATTTTTACAGAAATTATATCTTTTTTTGCGAGTTGATTAAAATAGTGGCTATTTCAAAGCAGCTTTCAAACATAAGCCATTGATGTTTTCCAGACTATATGAGTGCATCAACCCTCAACAGTGTAACTAGTCCTACATAACAATTTGTGTCTCTGTAGACTTCTTTTATATCCAAATTTTCTGCCACAAATTTCACAAGAAAATGAGACATTCCTAAAATGTACAACAGATTTGTGTTCAAGAAGATGATTCTTGTGATGACAGTGCTTTCCACATAATTCACAGCGATACTTGGGATTCAAAGGACCTGAAAGAAATAAAGGGCTTTCAAGACTCAAATGCTCAACAAAATATATAATTACCGACATTTTTATGTCAGTCTGTCGGTCGTTCTGGTCTCAGAGAAAGGAGAATTAACAGTAACATTTGAGTGACCATTCATTCTTTTTATCCGAAAATAAGTTTCAACAGTACTTACAATAAATATATTACTTCCTAATTTTCAACAGCTTCAATCCCTAACAAATTGGCAAAACTAACACCTTTGAAATGTCTTCCCAAAATCAATTAAGAAATGAAGATACGTTTCATGAAAATATTTCATTTTAGAATAAAAAGGAAAAATATCAGTTAAGATGAAGAAGAAAATTATTTTTAAAAGTGTCAGTATTCCAGCCATACATTGACAAAACGGACCACCTGATAGAACATTACTTTGAAACAGCTCTCATAAACTCATTATAACTTTTATTTGCACATCGCTGTTTCATATGACGAAGGCAGTTCTTTTTGTAAGCAAACCGTTTTCCACAAAACTGACAAAAAAAAAGACTTAAGCCATTATGCACAGCATTTGTATGTTCTTCAAGTTGCCTTCGATGGTGGCAAAGTAGTCCACAAGTTCTACACTGAAAACGGGAGTGCCCTGTACCTGTGAAATGGACAGAAGTGTTGACTGAAGAATATCTTTATGTCTTTTTATTGTTGATTTCTGACAATTTCAAAATAAGAAAATGGAACCTAATATTCAGAATAAGCATCACAAAACAAATCATTTTTTTTCCTTTTCCAACATTTACCAAGAGAAAGCGCAAGTGAATATTTCAGAATAGTAATCATTTTTTAATTAAGGGAAACTTGAAGAATGTGAACTAGTGTTTCATTTGAAAAGTATAAATGATGTTTTAAACTTTCTTTAAAAAGAGGATCCCATTGTTCAAATCAGAAAGGGGTTAGCTAATAAAATGTGCAATGCCTGGGTGTCTTACAACACATAAGTTTATGGCGTACAACATTCCTTTTGTAGGGGAATTTTTTGCCACAAAATTCACAAGAATATAGTAATAAATTATAATGAACACTATTCTTATGTTCTTGTAAATGTGTTCGATCTCTGCAGCACTTTAGACAGATGTCACACTGATGCCTATTCAGTTTTGAATGAGAATGAAACGTCACTGAACCTGCAGAAAAGATAAGTCATTTTGTCTGGATCAAGAAATGTTCTTGTTACTAGTGAGCATGACAGTTACTCAGATATCAAAAACCTAATATAAATTCGCAACAATTTTATTGGGACATACATCTTGCTCACATTTTGAATTTAACAAGTACAAACAATAATTCATTTGTTTTTTAAAGGAACATTATTTCTGTGATGAATTGGAAAACCTCCCTTGGTCTTGCAAAGGGTTTCATAAGCTATGACAGGAAGGAGAGGGGGGGGGGGGCCCCCCGGCTAACAATGTCATTTAAATAATGTTTTTAGCAAGATTGCTGTAACTGCCCAAAATAAGTTTTACACAGCACAAATAAATGACCATTAGATATTGACCAAAATATTAACTTAAGCACAAACTTTGAAGAAAAAGTTTTCCTTTGAAACAAGCTATTTGGGATTAACTTAAAAATTCAAACAATAACTTTCTGCTGCTCCTATAAATACATTGACAAAAAATAATTTTTTCTTAATAGGACCCTAGGTTCTGTTGAACAAGGAGTTGAAACGAAAATAAATAACTGAAACAGGTGGCTGCAAAAGTGGACATATCACAACTGAAAAAATACTTGGCTCGGAATCGTCCAGATAATTTATATAACCTGTTACATTAATATTTAACCACTAAAATAATTATTTACAAAATATTAGTCTGATATGAAAATTCAGAGTAGGAGTCTCTTGATAAACCAGTGCTGCTAGAACACATCCGTTTGTGGCGCACAAAACTACTCTTGTAAGCAAACTTTTTTCCACAAGAACATACAAAGGGAAGAAATTTAAAATGAACACTGTTTTTATGATCACGAAGATGTATTTTGTCACGGCATTCCCTTCCACACAGGTCACATCGAAATCTAGTATGAGAAAACCCTGGGGAGAAAAGAGTTATGTACTATGTATTATGAGTCTATCTGCTACATATCCATAATTTATACCACATGCAACAATTATACATAATAGTGCATCTTCAGTTGCTACGAAGGAAAAACCATCTATAAGGTAAGGACATTCAGAAGAGATAGTAGATTTTAAAAAAATCATCCAATTCTTTTGTCAGTTTTCAGAGTGCAAAGTAGCTTTCAAGCTTAACTCCTTTATTGTGAGTCATCATATGACTGTGTAAACTCTGTGAATATGCAAATCCCTTGCCACAGACTTCACATATATGAGGTTTAGTCTTAAAGTGTTTGGTGTTCATATGCCCATCCAGGTCTCGTGAGTTCTTGAAATGTCCATTGCAAATCTTGCACACAAAATTCTTGGTGGCGGAAGAACTTATGTGGGGCCACGATGAAACAAAGGCCCCAGTACGTTTTGCCAAACTGATGCCAACTGCAGAATAGAATAGGATGATTGCTTGATCAATTTTCCCTGTATTAAAACTTATACACATGGGAACAGATTTAAAATCTTAACCATACTTTTTTTTCCTCTAGTTTGTCATAAAAGACCATTAGAAATTCTCTTAAGCATGAATTACATTGATCATAATACAAGAAACATTCACGCCTCAAAGAACAAAATGTAGTTAATGAATCTTCAGATAGAATTCTCACAATGCCTTCTGCACACTGCAAATAACAGCATGTCTCCTTAAACTTTGTTGATAAGCAAATGATTTTCCACATCGAATACAAACATGAGGACGCAGTCCATAATGCCTAGTGTTCATATGACCATCATAATCTTTTTTCCCACAAAAAGCTTTCCCACATGGAATACAATAATTTGTGAATGTGTTCATTCCAGGAGAAGTAACGGTCAGTTTTCCAATGAAGTGAGAATGCAATGCTGTAAAAGAAAGAAAAACAACACATAGATCCCACCCTCAGATTTAATAAACTATGCAATCTTAAGGCTACCGTGTAGTCTGATAACTGGATACACTTTTCTATGAAAACAGCATATTTAGGATATGTGAGGTTTTATTTCAATTTTTGAGGAGTGTATATATAATAAGCTTGGAATTTTGAAAAAAAAAATTATGAGCTGTAAAAATTAATAATTAACTCAATATTCAAATACAACTAAAGGCCATCATCAAATAATCAAAAAATGCTTAAATATGTTATTATTCATCAGCCACTAACTCATTGAGAGGAGGATTCAAACAAATTATCTCTGACATTTTTTTCTATGTCTCATGTAATGTCCATGATGGAAAAGTTTGCGTCCACAAATTTCACACTCAAACTTGAACTTGGCCATATTGTCATCTAGATTAGAAGGCTCTGGTCTCTTAGTAGAATGAAAACGATTAGAAGAACGTCGCCTGGTGGCTGAAGAAAAGAAAGAATGATTGTGTCCAACTTTCCAAAATTGTATGTATTGGTGATAAAATGAAATGTCTAATTTTGGGCTCCAAACTTCACAGATGACATGGATTTACTTGAAAAATAACTGCAGCAAAAAGTTGACAGATACATTTATTGAAAAATATTCTGTGATGGCTTTTTATACTGCTATTGCTTATCATGTTTCATAACTATAAATTACCCAAAAAATAAAGTAAAATGTTGTAGCAAACTATTTCAATTGTTTAAAATCATCATGAATATTCTTGCAATGTCTTTTTAAATCATGTCTGTAGGTAAATGTACGTTCACAAAAAGGACAAACATGTCGTTTAAGGGTAAAACTACCACCACAGACATTTTGGTGTCGCCTAAGAGTTGATCGATGCATAAAAGAAAGTGAGCATTTTTCACACTGAAATGGCTTTCTATGCGTGTGGGAGCTTAGGTGCTGCACTAAAAGGAGCTCAGAATTGAAGCCCATGTCACAATAAAAGCACCAACAGGAATTTGCATTTCTGCTTGGTGAGGTGAGTGAGGAAGAATTCGACAGCTTGCCTTTTTCTGATCTCTGCGAGGTGCCAAATCTTGCTCCCTCTGAGGATGAGAAAAAGGCAAAGCCAATGATGGGTACCAATTTCTCTGTCTCTCTAAGTCTCAGTTTATTTATCAAGCTCAGAATTTGTTTTCAGGGAACTAATGTCAGTAGTCATCCAAAGGGTTACATATATACAATATTTGATGCCAAATCAAATCAAACAAAATCTTTTTACGCCAAATTAACAGTGACAAATCTTTAACTATAAAAATTGAAGGGGTGGTACAACACAAACATTGCTGCAATTCAAAACTGCAATTATGTTCACTCATAGAAATGAATATGAAGTTCACAATCAAAGTGATAGGCTCCAAAACAAAAACAAGTGCAATTTAACATTTTCTTACTACGAAAATAAGACATCAAAGAAGATCAATCTTTACGCCTTCCAAAACTTTCTACAATAAACTTCTTCTGGCTATGGGACAAGTCCGTTTGTGTCTAGACAGATTATTGGCATAGGCAAATGAGGTCCCACAGTAAGGGCATGAAAATGATTTTAAATTTAAGTGTGTATTTATGTGCCCATCAAAATGAACTTTATATTTAAAAGTTCTGTTACAGAATTGACATATATATAGTCCTGAGGACGTTTTCATTCCTGCACTGCCTGGTTTTCGTTTAAAATCACCTATGCCTTGAATGTACACTCTCTCACTCACAGAGGCTGCAGACAAATAAAAAAACAAATAAACCCTCAATAGTGTACATAATTTTCTGTACGCACTGTTAGTTATATCGTCATGTTTAATTATTTAATGCAGTACGGAATAAACACCTTCAACTTTTGAAAATCAATCATTACTGTGCAAGTAAAATGAAAAGCTCTGCATAGAAAAAATATTTAATACCTTACACTCCACAACTAATCAACCTTATCAACCACAAAAGGACCCCAAACCCTCTCTACCTTAAATAAATATATTTCATCAAGCAAAAAAATCAATTTGATTGATAAGCTATAAAACATTTTAATAAAAATGCAAAAACATTTACACTGCAATAGGGGAGCATTATATATTTTTAATACAATTCATATAAAACAAGGGAAGAGTACAATATTTGAAAAAATTAATATCTTTCATGAAAAGCAAATAAAAAAACATTAAACTGTAAAATGTGAAAGATATGTAAATATTTGGTAAAAAGTACTTTGTAAGTTTTGCAAATAAACAAATAAAAGAAAGTATCAAAACAAGTCATTTCATGAAGAAAACAAGGTATTTAAAAAGTAGTAATGATATACCTAAGATGAGTAGCTTATTTTACTAAACGTCTTACAAACATAAAGGTAGTATACCGGTACTGTCTGGAGCAAAATATAAAATTTACACTGGGAACATGCACAGCAAAAAATATAATAGTTCAAGTATGCGGGATATAGGATATGGATGTGTTTTTGCGTGTGTGATTATGTATATTTATCTTAATGTATAGACACAAAGTTGTGTATTTTAACAAATGTATGAGTTTTAAGTCGAGGGAAAGATTTAAAAGGAAAAAGTAATGCTAGAGGAGAAACAGAGTAACAATTGGAGTGGTGAAACCCATATAAACTAAGTTTTAAACCAACTGAAACAGTTGCTGTTGAAACCATTCAATAAAAGGATATTATTTTCCCTGATGACAGAAATACAAGTCCATTCATTCTTAATTACAAACACAAAGACAGAAAACTCCTTAACATAACAAAATTTGTTTAAATGATCTTTTGTTTAGAAATTAAGCCAAACAAGCCTTTCTTGTGACATGGCAGAGCTAACCCTCTTTCAACTAAGGCCTAATAATAATGGGTGAACACTGCACCCAAACTTTCGCCATCACAGAAAAATGTATCCTTTTAATTAAAATTTAAAAACTTTTTTTAGCACAAGATTTTTTAGAGTTAAAATAGAAATGTAGACAAAGAAAACTTTATATTAGAACCACCTACCTGTACAGCTCAAAGAAAAGCAATTTTTAAATTGAGATGTTTATTAGAAGATAAGGAATAAGTTGTCGTCACAATTTTATTAAGTAATGCCGGAAAATGAAAATATATGCACATATTGGGATAAAATTATCCGTAAAGTGTTTAGACTTTAGTAATAAGTTATATCCAAAAAGATATCTTGTATTTTGTTAATTATGAGTTGTTCAAATTTATTTAAATTCACTATATTTTATGAACTTAGTTGGCCTAGATCATACCTTTTTTTATATAGTTATCTAGTATGAAATATTCTCATGCGCTTTTAACCATAAAAACAGGAGTGAAGTTAATTAACTATTTGCCCTTTGACAACATTGTTTATTGGTAACTATTTTTTTATTTGATTTACTTAAGCTACAATTATCTATAGATTCCAAGTGCTGCATCAAACAACTTTAACAAAATCTCTTCAGATTAAGGAACTTAATTGATGGCTTAATCTGAAAAAAGTAAATGACACAAAATTTTCCTACAATAACAGCAATTGTGGTTTAATTAGTGTTACATCTAGTTCTTGAGCTAAATAATATATTGGAACCAAAATCTAGAAGATGAAGAATATCTAGAAATCTATAAAAATAATGCAAATATTAAATCAACATTTTTAATGTAAGATAATTCTCTTTTGTAAATTCGCTGTTTAAATTAAATATTGTTCCCTTTGTTTAGCTTTCTTTGCATCTAGCTTTCTTTGCAACTAGCTTTCTTTGCATCTACTAACCTAATTCCCAAATGAAGGGAATTTTTTAATCAAATTGAAATCTTTCAGTTAACATCAATCATCTAACTATTGGAAATAAATTAAATTTTATAGCCATTTCAATTTTAAATTTGAAAGATTTTTTGAGAGCCTTGAGAAATAAATCAAAACTCAATGTTAAATCCATCTCAATTTAAAAGAAGCTTTTCTGATCATTTTGAATTAACATTTTTATGACAAAGCAATTTAATATTGTGGCTAAGAATGGCTTATAATAAGTATTTCAATTGCTTTAATTAATTTTTTTTAAATATGATAAATTAAAAGCAATTGAAAAGAGCTACAAGAACATCAATGAACAAATTAAATTTTATATTTGTTCACATGTTCTCATTCAGGAAAGGATTAAAATACTTGAATAGAACATTGGTACATAAAATGAAATATCAGGCTATGGAGATTTGTGGATTTCTTATAGTATTCAAAAGCTGATAATTTAAAAGATATCAAAGACTAGTGTTAAATGACCCATTTACTTCACTACATACTGCAAAAGAATTTTTTTTATGATTGCCAATTGAACTGAAACCTTTATGTCATTAGCAATTATAAATAGACATGGTCTAATATAGAAAAGCATGATAAACCAATTCAATATTGATAAGCAACTCTTTAAATTCAGAATTCAACTAACTAGGGACACCGAGAATTTTATCTGCCATAAAAGATTATGCATAACTAAATGTATTAAATGTTCAATTAGAGGTTGTTAGCTAGTTTTCAAGAGATGTTCCCTTAATAAAATCTTGACTTATATGAAATTGAGAGTGACAAATCAATACTTATTCAAAAAGCTATCCTTTTAAATAGAAAATATAATCCCAAGGGTCAAAACAAAAACAAAAACTCATAGAAAATGTTTTAACTAAAAAAGGAAATTGAAACAACTGAAGTAGAAAGTAAAAGAAAATAAAATAATGAAGATAGGACTGAATTAATAGTTAAATGCCCTTAATTTCTATAAAAGATAATGTTATAATTTGTAACAAGTCAGTATTTTTAATCCTTTCCAGTCATGATCATGGGAACCAACAGTTAAAACATTTATGCATAATTGATCTCATAAAATTAAAGGGTAAATTTTTTTAATTATCAACATAAAATGTCAGGTATGAATTCTTTTAATGTGTGCATTTTTCTTATCCATAAGAGTAATTTCAAGTGACACAAATGTTAAACTCTGGTCCCATGATTTTAAGATCTTGGCTTAATAGCAAGGAATATGTTTTACAACTTCATTTTTCATATACAAATGAAGATGATTTATTAAGGTCAGCATAATGTTGCTACTTTTTAAACAAAAAAGAACTAAATTTGCCTGAACATTTTTTAATCTGATGATTTGTTTAAAATGGGTCAATTGTAAAATCATATCTTGCAGAATAAAGAATAAAATTAAATATCTCTTTCCTTGCTATTTGCCATAAATTTTTGCTGAATAAGAAAAGGGACCAACCTGATGAATCTCCTACTCCTTCTGAAGGTCCAGCACTACCTTGAAAAAAATCTTGTGACAAACCACCTGGACCATAATCTGATCTATGACCTCTCCTATTGCCATCACCATAATATGGATCATAAGGCATACCAGGAAAAACAGTACTTTGATCTTGTGAATCATCATCTGAAAAATGTATCGACATATTGAAAGTAAGCACATCTCTGCAGATAGGAACTAATTTTTAATTTTTTAAAGCAGTTTACAGGAACAGCAAATATTTCTGTCAACATTTTACGAATCATTACCCATACCATGGAACGAGTACTGCTTAAACTTAAAATTTAGAAGTGCTATTACGACATAAAATGCAGATATCCGTAAAAAAACTAAGTTTCACATATGCATACGTGGACATGTCAAATGTTAAAATCTACAGTTCATGATTTTACAGAAATCCATACAGTGTGATAACCTTAAAATGGGGAAACTTGGCGCTTTAGAAACATTATATTGATTTTAACTTACATGTTTCTTGATCCTCCTCACCACCATGCTCAGAATGACTAAACTCTTGTTTAACTTGAATAATATTCATATCACCATCTAACTGAGGTTTAATGTCTCTTTCTTCTGAAGCACTTTGATTGTTGGAGGAATCACCAAATGTTTGTGGAAAGACTTTTGAAAGATGAGATATATCTGATTCAGATGCTGCAGCTAATGAAGTTTCACTTGTTAATTGAGGAGGTACAAAGTTTGAAGAGGAGTTGCTTTCAGAATGTATAGATTCTGCTTCGTGTTGAGCACCATTTGGACCTGGTAATGAGGGATCAGATTTATGCTGCTTTGAATGTTTATGAACTGATGAAAAGTTTTGACTGTGTGGCCGTTTTGGTGGACGCCCTGCTTTAGTATGAGGACTAATACTTTTCCTACGAAACAGGTCTCTTGATGGCAAAGTTCCTACATTTTTACTTTCTGGCTCATCCATAATAATGATTTCTTCCTCATCCACTTTTAGATCTGTATTTTCAGTTTGTTTAATGTGGTCAGAACTGCCTTTAGGTGATGGCTTAGGTTTTTCTGCCGGCTGTGCATGGAAACTATTACTAATGAAAGTTACAGAATTTTCATCTGTCTTACAAACTTTCTCATTGAGAATGTAGTCTATCTTTTTTCCAGTGTCAACATTTAAATAAATATGCCCAATTACTTCAACACCACTGTTGAATTCCACATATCCATTACATAATGACTGGAGAAATTTAGCCAATGAAGATATAAATTTTGAAGAGGAGTCAAAATCCATGGCTGCTGATTTAATCTGAAGAGGAAAAAAAACAGTTTTAATCAAAATCAATTAAATATGGGTGGACAAAAATATTCATCAGTATGACAATGCAGAATTTTATGTCAAAGTTGTAAAGAAATATTTGATATCAAATCAAGACTTAATAAGTATTTAACCCTTTCATTACTGCTGGTTTTGGCATCAATTTTTGCTGACTGAGCAATTTTAAAACGTACAGGTGAAACTTTCGATATTTATTCATTCTCTATTTGATTCGCTTCTTTCTCTATAAATTAACGAATAAAGAAATATATGGCATTGAAATATGACGTCCTTGGTATTTCAGAAAAGTTCTTTGCCCCTTTGTTATGACTACGATGTGACTGCTTGGTAATTGAAAGTGGGTGATCGTGACGTCGCAGTGACGTCAGCAGTAATGAACACCTACCATGTTTGACAACTCTTGGAATATTTTTTTACATTACAATTTATATTACCGGTATTACAAGTGATGGTCGTGTGCACCATATTGTTACCAGCCCTTTACTAAGGCTGCACCATTAAAAATCTGGCAAATTATCAGACCTTGCTATCTCAACAACAATGTTTACTTTACAGTACTGCAATATAAATAGTCACTTCAATTAATTTTGATATTAGTTTATATGAGCCAGCAATCACTGCTTTTATTATCTGTGTTACTTTTATGAGAGTCAGATTATGTGATGTACTTCTGCTGTGAATGATGGTATTTTTGCCCTTACATTTTATATTTTTAATTTAATCATGAGTTTAACTCAAGAGTCTGAGTGATGATTATAACCCTGGGAATAAAACCTGTGTACATTTTATAAGCCAAGAGAGACACTTAGTAATTTTGCTAAGAGAAACTTTCATTTTTTGCATGGAGTGAATCATAGTAATTTTTATAGGAGTGGAGTGCATCTTAATATTTTTTATAGGTTTCTTTTTGTTACTACACAGTACCGGTACACTACAAAATAAATAAATCTGAACTTTCAAACAGTCTCTGAATTATTTGACTTCACACTACACATGAGCCTTGTATGGTGTAGAGATAGTTGTTGACTCTTTGATTTCCGTGGCCATACAAAGGTTACCTAATCTTAGACAATATACTATTCGCCACAACCATATTAAGACAAACAGAAAGTGAGCTTTCGAGTTTGAAAACTAATTATTTGAATTAATAGTTAATACATTTAGACCATTTCATCACTTTTTTTTATACACTAATGATCAAAAAATACATTTATGAGCCCTATCTACACCTGAAAAATAAATAGCCAGAGAATACATGACCTTTTTATAATTCGATCTACCTGAAGTTATTTTTCAATAAAAACAGTTATTGTTATAAGAAACATCTTGTTCCATATTATAACTGAAGAGTATAATTATGAATATTAAATTTTGAACAATTTATTAATTGTTTTAATATTTATTGCTTAGGCCGCTTACGCTTTTGATCACTAAAAATGACATTAAAATTTCCTATATCAATAATATGTCTCAAGTACCCTAATACTTATTTCTGAAGTAAATAGTACTGTTAAAGATTTTAAATTAATAAGTTTTAAAATAAAATGTGATTAATAATGTTCTTTCTTTTATGCCCCCCCCCCCAGGTCTCTTTGTACTCTGTACAATTTTAACAAAACTAAAAATGTTAAGGAGCACGGATGATATAAGAACTCTCATGTCACTCACGGTTTTAACCATTTTATTTTGTCTGCTTTTTTTGTCCCCTTTTAAATTAAAAGCTTACACTTGACATCCACTCCCAGCTGGACAAGACTGACCTACCTACTGTATTATACTGACAATGGATGAGGACTTTCTTGACAACATGAACAGATTAAGAATAGAAAAAGCTAAGTCAAAACCCTCAATCATTTGCAGATTTCGCTTTTCGTTATTTGTGATTAAAAACTAAGAGATTTTTTTATTTCTAATATTTTTTATTGACGTTCACATCTGTTGAAATGTTCATATTAGCATATGTATTACTTTAAATGTAGTAATGTCAATTTATTTCAATGTACAATAATGTTCGCAGAGATCACTTTACATTACAAAATATTTATAAATGTAAGGTAAGCTGAATATTTTAATTCCCTCTGCTGTTAATCTTAATTTTCAGAATGACATTTAGGATATCTCATTGAGCTGAAATCTCCATTGCAATACCGGTAGATTAGTGATAGGAAAGGATGTAGGCCCTATTTAAATGTACAACTGGGTCAGCTGTGATCACTCTTCTTTTAATTTTATATTTAATGCTGAGCTTTAATCTGGCATAATTATTTTAAAGATCAACGCTTATTTAAAAATTGCCATATTTTCATATGATTAATTTAACAGTCACATATTTTACCTTATTTTTACTTATGACATTCTTAATACAAACAAAACAGCTTTACACTTTAAAAATGTTTAGCCTAGCTTATTTCATTGTTTTTCAGGTTAAGTTTTGATAAACTTTAAGTGCTTTAGTGAGTTAGATGTGACTACGTTAGGAGAAGAGGAGGAAGACAGAGAAAAAGATGGGAAGACAACATCAAAGTATAAACGGGACTAAAATTAGGCGATGCTGTGCAAAGTGCAGAAGACAGGAGAATGTCATCTGTAACGGTCCAAGGACTAAGGGACATGATGATGATGATGACGTTAGTGGAAGGCTCAGGAATTATAGAATGTCACTAGTAATGAGCAGACTTATTTTAAATGTAATTGTTATTGGCCTTTTACTAATTGGTTATTGTTTAAATTTAATTTTTTTTTGTAAACATTTTAAGCGTCTCAGTGATATGAAACTTTTAAGGAACTTCATAATTCATAAACCTTATGTCATATAAGTGAGGAAGTTGTGGCTCACACTATCACAGACGTATTATAACCAAGTGGGTCTTGTAATTAACATGGGTCTGAAACCTACGTTACACTTGCTATAGACGGGAGCAATTAATAGAAGACAAAAAAAATAAAATAATAAATATGCTCAAAAATGCCTCAGCAAGTATATTTATAATAAGGAACCATTATAGGTTGTTGGCATGCTAAAAGTTAGAAATCCTACATTTGTATAAAAAAATTGCCAAAATGTATATAGGAAGTGGGCGACTGCACAAAAGAATAAAGCATTTGGACGTGTTTTTTCAGTAATGAAAGGACTATTTGTAAAATATTGTGGTATTCATCCAAGATGACATTGGATATCTTGGCCTACATTCCCATCATAATGGTTTGTCTTTTCAATCGACACTAATCTTGAGCTTCCTGGGTATATATGAGGCATCTTTCCCTAAAAATGTTTTGAAGAAGTTTAAAATTTTAAGTCTTTAATCAACGTTTAAATTATATCCCCCTGAGCATTGCTGTATATGTGTGCCAATTCTCATTGAGTCTGCCATTAGTCCTGCTCAGTCGAGTAAACCACAGTATGATTAAGTTGCTTAGCTTTTTAATTGTGGGAGTTGCCTTTACAAAATTGCAACTGTTACCGTGCTTGCACCATCCTATCTCAACGCACTACTGACGCCTTATAGACCCACTAGACAACTCCATCTGATAGTGGCAAACTCTCGATACCATGTGTTCACCTTGAGACTTACGGAGGCACACTTTCGCATTTGCTGGCCCAACAATTTGGAACACCTTTTCTCTCGCGCTCAGAAACAGCCAGACACTTGAGTCTTTCAAAACTGATTTGAAGACTTATCTATTTCGCAAACACCTGCTGGGGTGATATTGTCTATCTAGCTATTACCTTGTAGATGTATATTAGCCTGTTTTGTTTATGGTTGCAAGGTATGAAAAGACTTAAAATGGGTATTCTCGTATGTAGTTTTTGTAATGTTGCATTTTGTACTTCAATGTGGTATGTACCGCGCTTCGAGCCTTTGGGGATGAAGCATGATTTTCAAATAATCTTTATTATTATTATTACTGAAAAATAAGTGTTGGCTATTCAATTATTGCCATTACTTACATCAAAATATTAGATAACTTGTGTTTAAGAATAAACTTAGAAGGCATTTCAAAATAGAATTTTTTAAATTTAGGTTTAAAAACCCGGTAGAGTCCATTTATAAATTATGGAAAGGGTCCATATCCTAAATTATCATAACTTGCTGTGTGCATTACGTCGTCTAGGGCAACCATTCACAGTCACATGTAACTTAACTACTTTAGTAGCCTCATAGTTTCACTCATAAAAGATGCTGTTTGCCAACACTATTAAATGATTGGTCAGGTAATTCTTAGCAAGAGGCGCCTTCGCTGGTTATGCAATGGTAAGTGGATGGAGGAAGGCTGTATTCCAAAGAATTTGATGTGTAGAGAATTGGCAAGACTGGTTGGATGGCCGAGGCTGCAATTTAACCCTTTACAGTCTGTTGCGCCCGAAATGTGCCGATTTTTTCCTTAAGCCTACAGTCTATTGCGGCCAAACCTGCCCATTTTAAGTTTGTTAACTTTCGTTCTTAGCACAATGGAAATCCATTGCGCATTACTACTTATAGTTCTACCGGAAGAAAGCCTCGTCTTCATTTATTTTATACTAGTTTTAACGGGGTGTGTTTAGGGGCTTATTTTCTACAATTTTTTTTTAAAGTTCTGATTTTTTCGCTGTAAAAAAATGGACTCAGACACGCAGCGCCGCCATTCGCACCAGTGTAACATTAGACTCAAGCTATTCGGATGTCATTTGCAGTAGTTAATTTAGTTAAATTGAATAATTTATTCCACTTCCATCAACAGTAACAAGGATGGCAAAGACAAAGTTTATGAAGGAGAAATTTTGTGATTCATCAACAAGACCAAGAAGTCTGTAAAAGTCAACATATAAAATGATAGGCAGAACATCCCCATTCCCTTTTCAAATTGAATCACATACCCGTACGCTCATATATATATGTCTCGTGATGGTGATTTGAATAGTTTTTATAATTTCATGCATATAATTTTGTATTAAAAACGACTTCTACTTACCTTTTATAAAGATAAGAATTTATTTGCAATATAACTGAATCCTACATTTAGTTAAACTACAAAAAACATGCAATTTTTTTGTTTTTGCCTTTACAAATAATAATTTTTCCAATTTTTTCTTTAAATGATTTTTTTAAACATACCAGCAAAGAAAATTATCCAAAATGAAGTCTTGACGTTATGTTGCTATTTGTGTTGGTTATTAGATTAGGAATGTCTCCTGAAAATTTTGTGCAATTATCTTTAAAAATAAAAATGTGGGCAAAATAATGCAGAAATGTGAAACTTGGATGACACGTTTTGGGGGTAAAACATATAGATTGCAGACCTGTTTACTCTTACGATTTTGGCGTAAAATGTAAGATTTTGTGGTTTATACATTATATGTACTGTATGTTAATTTTTTTTACTATTAAGATAATGCATTGAACCATTTTTTATGATATTTTAAGATTTTTAGAGTTTGGGGGTAAACTAGGGTAAACAGGTCTGAGATTATATAAGTATAAGAAGGGCATAATAGGGGCATAAAAAATCTTAACTCCTCTTCTATAAATATAAAAGATAGAAAGATGACATTGTTGTTGTTATAAAGCTTTTGCTAGTCCTTTAAAATGATGTTCATTCATGGCAATTGACTATATTTAAAATTTGTGCCAAAGTCAAAGTACCTATCTCCTAAATGAAGTGAAAATGTAAATGTACTATAACTATTTCATTAAAAAAAAAAAGTTCGTCTAATTTAGATTAATTAAATAATTAAAATAAAACCAATTGTAGATTAACAAATTTACCCTTTAATGTACTATGTCAGTCAAACTATGTCGAGACTAAATCTACATTAAATGGGCTACAGTTATAAGATCAAGGCGTAACAATGGCTAACAAGTAACATGCTTCATTCGACGCTGCCGACAGAAAGGTCTAGTCACGTAGTTTAAAAATAAAATTATTGTGACCTCAATTTCAATTAGGACATAAATATGGTATAAGCAGTTAAAACTCTTAACTACAATTTAAAAATGACAACAAAATTTTACCTAATAGCTTTTCAACAAAAATTCATAAGCCAAAAGTTCCCTAGGACGATTGTTAATTTCTTTGTGCTTCCTCTCAAACAGACGCCATGACGGTTAAGCTTCTCTTTAGTATATATTAACATAATTTATGCATGAAGGAAAAAAAGAAGCGGTCGCGATGTCTAAATGTCGCACCATAACATTTAGTTATTGCCAGATAATGGGAAAAACTGTTTGATCCGATATTATTTATTTGTCGGCTCTATATGAACAAAGAATGAAGTCGATTTAAGCAATCTAAACCATATACATTGTTTGTTTCTTTTCTATAGATAGGCTACTTATATATATAACATAAAATATTGTTACATTGCTATGTGCTCTCTAAATAAGACCATTTTGAAACAAGTATCAAATAATCCATACCTTGGAATTCTCTTCACGGATAATCTAAAATGGTCACCTCATATAAACAAAATTTTAAAAAGAGCAAACTCCACACTTGGTTTCATTTGAAGAAATCTGCGCCACTGCCCAACATTTTGCAGAAATGCCTAATCGCACTTGTCCGTCCACTACTAGAATATGGTGCGACCATCTGGGACCCATACCTTAAACAAGACATGGACAAGATAGAGCGAATACAACGTAATGCAGTGCCCTTCATGGCAAGTGACTACAAATCCACCCCTTCTGGCTTCGTCACTAGCCCCTTAAAAAGATATGACATCCCCTCGCTCAAAGACAGAAGAGAAAAGCTCCGCCTAGCATTCCTATATAAAGTGATCAAAGGGCTAGTGCCGACCATCCCAGCTAAAACATATCTCACCCCACAGAAGCCAGGTCGCTTAATCATAGCCAAACGCTCAATTAACACTGACTTCACCTCTAACAACTCAATGAGCAGTTACATCCGTAACAATAGGAACAATGCTTCACTGTGCCTCGGTGTAACAAGTTCAATATAAAGAATCATTCTTCCCATGAAAAATAATTGCTTGGAACCAACTGGACAATGCAGCCGTAGACTCAACATCAATCGAGAGTTTCAAGGCTGCCCTGCCATCAGCTAGGAGTCGTTAGAATAGCAGCATCACTTCCCCAACCATTGCATATATGATAGTACATGGATGCAGCAACGTACCCTTCCAGAACCAGAAGATACGTTTTGTATATCATAATTATTATAATACAAGGAAATATATTTTTTTTTAAACATCCATAGTTTAAAATAAAATGTTCCTTCAATATATGGACCGGTCGAATTTAGAAGACGGACAGGTTGAAGTTTTGTCAGAACGAATGGAAGAGCATGTGGGTGGATTGATGAGCAGCTCGCGGGGTATTATTTGTCCCACTTTATTAAAATGCTAAATCTGAAATGAGATCACTTAAAGATTTTTAAGTAACTTCATAATCTGGAAGTGAGCTTAATCGACCTTTATGGCACGGGATAACAGTTAACACTCTGGCAGCAAGCTCCATCTTTTCAGTTGTGCCATAAAACATAGTGTGCCGTATAACCCGTTTGCTTCCACCCCCCACATTCAAACTCGTGTCAAGAATAAACATAGGAGGCAGAATGATTAATACAATGATCGTGGGCCCTCAAAATATAGAAGAAGACATGTGCACATACCTAATGGCCAATTCAAAAATTTAAGTTCTTTTTAATGTATTTAATTTTTCACTTGCTTTTGTTCTCTGAAAAAGGCATTTTCCTAACAGGTTCATTCTTTTATTTTTTCCGCGTTTATCTCTACTTATTTTTCTTATTTCCTATTGTTGTTGAACAGCCCGTACTCGCTTTTGAATCACCAAGTTCTACTGTTGAGGCTTAAGTCTCCAACACGGATCTGATTTGATGTACCTAAGTATGTTGCCATCGTATCAAAATTTGGTGGCATCTCGTCATGGCTTTCAGTTGAATGTATCAAACTCATAAATGTCTGCACTGCTTGCATGATGTATGCAGAAATTATAGATATAGGTCTACCAAAGGGCGTATTTTATATTTGCATTTCTACACTTTTTTTCAATCGCGTCAGATTTAATGTCAGCTTAGATTGGATGGCGTTGGTATAAAAAGCAAGGTTTTTAAATAGCTAGAAAATACATGATCCTAAGACAGACATTATTAATTAGATAGACATGAAATTAACTAAATTTTTCCATAAGAAAATTATTTGTGTCATAAACTATTCATATTAACTTTGTAAAAAAAACAAAAAGCTCCGCCCCTGCCAACCACCTTTTCAATTCAATGTAATCTTTCTCATCATTATTTACAATTATATATGTCTAATGAAGGAACGGATGAAATGGCTCCATTTACACTAATATCCACACAAATGGTCCAAGGCAAGGGTCAGTGAGCCAGGGTAAATGACAAAAATGGGTTTAAGAAAATAAGAAGTCTTTGAAAAAGAAGGATCATTTAAATATAAATAAATAGGGTGACTGTGAGAGTGGGTTAGGGTAAGATCAGCATTAACAACAAACAAAGATGATTAAACCAAAGCAGTTCGCTGAATCACCTTGGATGGTTTTTGACAATTACTAAATTCACCCCAAAAATATATATAAAAAATCTAATGCCCCTATAGCTTTTTTTTTTTTTTTTAATAACAATGATGTAGACCCGGGGTATTGGAAATATAAATTTTACTGTACTATAATTATCTTAGATTCAAAGGATGGTTTTTGACAATTACTAAATTCACCCCAAAAATATATATAAAAAATCTAATGCCCCTATAGCTTTTTTTTTTTTTTTTTTAATAACAATGATGTAGACCCGGGGTATTGGAAATATAAATTTTACTGTACTATAATTATCTTAGATTCAATAATAAAATAATAAATTGCCTAGACAGTAAATTTAACAACGTGTTTTCGTACTTCTTATACACGTGCTTAATTTTAAACATATGTTAACTATGCACTGAGAGAAGGAAGCAGTCTAGGTTAAAATGATGTGAAGAATTTGTCCCATATGAGTTGCGTAGTCTAAACGCAGTCGGTGAAGCCCCCTGGCTATCTTAATGTATTTAATATTTTTTTTAGTTGAGCTTCGCAGTGAGCCTAGATTGTTTGAGATACAAATATTTATTTGTAAAATAAACTAAAAAATAATTTTGTATTGAATTTAACAAAAAATCATAAGTAATTATTAACGTTTGCTTGTTTGCCTTGTATGTAAAGTCATCTTGTTTCGCTATTTAACCAAACCTTAAATTTGACCAATGAGCTAAGGGATTTCATACCATGTGATCAGAAAGCTACACGTGACAGCTAACTATGCCAGATTGACTTCAAATGTGTTAGACAAAATTCACAAAGGTTGATCTTCAGAAAATGCGATGTTTAAGAGTTAAATGGAAACAACGCACCAGGACGTGATTCTTTCAATTTTCTACATAGAACCCATTATTATCTGTGTTTTTATCAGATAATTGATTCCTGCTAAATTATGACCAGAGATACAATTTTTTTTTAAAACCCTGTATCAATTGTATATGCTATATTTCTTTCTTTCTTTTTTATTTTTTTAAATAGCGTCTTTACAATCCTACAAGGAACGATTTTTCCAAAACAAGCTGATGTCCATTTTATAGTTTTTATTAGAGTTTTGGGTTTTCTCGGATTTTTTTTAATAAAAAAGAAAATCACAATGAAAACAAAATAATTATTAAATCTATTTGTTTATTGTCTCATGAAAATTTACAATATTATGTGATAGAATGTGCAGCAGCTAGTTGATTTTTGTGTTGTTATGCACTGGAACGGCTTACTACACTAAATAATTTGTTTAACGTTATTTAAAATTAGTCATCTCCATTTTTAAATAATAATATATGAAACAACATTAATGTTAAGTGACAACTAAAAATCAATGATTTGTATAAATACATACAAGTCATGGCACACCTAAGTTTCCCCTAGCATAGGGTGACCAAATCATGAACTAGAAATAACGGGACACTTTCAAGTGCGGTTTGTGGGGGGGGGGGGGTAACCTCCAGCTAAAGATGGGTCCGGGGGCCTTGGACGGAAACTGTTTATTGAAATATGCTCATTTTAACTCTGAAATTTAACCTAGAAATCTACTTGGGGCACTCAGTCTTGAGTGGGGGGGGGGGGGGTAACCTCCAGCTAAAGATGGGTCCGGGGGCCTTGGACGGAAACTGTTTATTGAAATATGCTCATTTTAACTCTGAAATTTAACCTAGAAATCTACTTGGGGCACTCAGTCTTGTCCTATGTTTCATTGATGTGATGTGTTGTTTTATGTCTGAACGTCCACCATGACCAATACTACAAACATTATTGCAAACTGCGCACTAAGCTTCACTTTCATAGCGTCCCTTTTTAATATAGTTCCACTCTTTGGAATACTCCTCCTTAAACTTACAGTGACGCTTGGGCATAATTATTGTCTACATGAGAAGATAATATAAAACTAAAGAATAAAGTTCAACACCCAAAACAAACATCTTTCACTCTGACAGGAACAGGCCGGCAGGGATCACACATAAGACTAACACATTACACGTAGCGGTAGCGGAATCAAAATTGGTTTCTGCGCAGTTAACCCCCCCCCCCTTACCTTGGCTTCAAGTCTCGTGTCTTTCGCTATACATTTACATATAAGATCTATGGCAGGGACACTGGTGGAGGGGGAACAGTGCAGCCATCACGCGAGCCCACATCACTGCTGGCACTGGCTACATAGCTAGCCAAAATATTATTTGAAGTTATATTATAAATTAGGAAGTTTTAGTGATTTGAAAATGTGTTTGGTATTTTAAAAAAAACGGGAAATTTAGGCGTCCCAAGAGACTTTTTGAAAAAGCCGGGCAATCCTGTTTTTACGTGACGTTTGGTCACCATATCCTAGCATCTCTTTTCTTGCTTTCCGATTAAGTGTAAAATGATGATATTTATACTTATACAATACTAAATACACTTATAATGAATGGCGGTGGGGCATGCAAATTTGAAAGTTGAGACCCCCAAGATGGCTACAAGAATTTTAACATTTAAGAAATTACTTGGGGGGGGGGGGTGTCCCCTGCTGATATTTATTCTTTCTTACTTTATTTTTTGTTCAAAATTTCGAACATGTTCACTGAACCTATCAGATAG